AAAAATTCACTTTTATTAAATTTATATGCTATCAACAGAGTAATTAACTAGTAATAATAAAGTTACATAGATAATGTAGTATAATGATTTCTTAATTTTGAATTTTGAAAATACTGAGAATTCTGCAAATTCTGAAAATACAGAAGATCTATATAATTTTGCAGATCTTCTAAATACTAATGATAATCCTAATTTTATGAATCAAACAAAGTCTAGAAATATTTAGTGTTATACTTATTTTTAATATTCTAATTTTTATTAATAATTTTATTATATTTTATATTTTTATTATTTTACGTATATTTATTTTACTTATATTTTATCTATCAAAATTAATTAATTTATAATATAATAAATAGTTAGCCGTGATTAAGAAATTTTGTATAAATAGATAGATTTTTTCCTTACGTTATAAATTAACTTTTTAGCAAGTTTCAAAACTCTTTTATGAATACAAGTTTTTATATTAATAAAGGAATTAATTTAAAACTTATATCTTTCTGCTTCTTTATATAGTTTAATGTGATTTCTACACATTATTTGTAATTGAGTTTATTATCTGAATTCTTTAATTAAATTATTCATTTCAAATCTTTATATTTGATAGATTTATTTAAGTTTAACATACAAATTTGATAAAATCAAGAGTTAAGTGGATCTTAATGTCTTAATCATAGTAAGCCATAAGTAGTAACTTTGAATAGAAACTTAAGGATATGACCAATCCAAGTTGAAGAATTTCATAGTGACAATACAAATTTACTTGTTAGACAATTTAAAAAATATTATAAAATTAGTATTATTAATTGAATATTAAATTTTAACAGAATAGTCTTTAAGATTTAAATAAATATAAAATCATAACTTTATTATAATAATAAGTATTAAGCTTTTAAAATTAAAAATTAAATATAATAATAAGATTTTTTTAAATTTAAATTAATAATTTACTTAATAAGTAATTAATAAGTACTTAATAATTAGTTTATAATTTTTGCTTTTTTAATTTATATAAATTAAAATATATTAATAAATAATTAATAATTGTTAAAAATAATAATTAGCTAAAATATTAGATTATATAATTTTCACATAATTCTAGTTTTTTTAAAATTAATTAATAATCAAATTTACATTTTACATAATTAAGTTTGTATAATCTTATTTATTATTCTAACTATATATATTTAAAAAATACTACTAAAAAAAGTAAAAAAGTAAAAAGTTCTAAATTGACTTTATTTTATTAAGAGTCTATTACCTAATAGTTCATTATAATATACAATGTAAATATTATTACAAAAAATATATGTTTTTGCTAATATGTTAAAATATCTTAAAGAAGAATACTCTAATATTAGTAAAGAAGTTCATCATATTTTTTATAATTTAAAATATATAAATAATAAGATAAAAAGAATAAATATTATAATAATAGTATTTATTAAGCAAATTATTATTTCATAATATTTTAAACTTAATATATAATAAAATAATTATTTTATATTTATCTATTTAGGTAAAAATAAAACTCATAATATATAAAAATCTATAAAATCTTTTGTGAATAAGTGTATCCTATAATAAAATAATAGCAATATATTATTAATTATTACATATATTATTTTTTAGCAAATATTTCATTTTCTTTTATAATGATCCTGAAATTATTAAAAAAATGAATTAGTATAAAAATATTAGATTAAGTTTATAAAAAAGCTAAACTTAAAATATAAAAGTTTGTTATAGAAGCTAAATTTTTGATTTTATTAGAAAATGGATAGACAAATATATCTAAATAGAATATGATTAATTTTATTTTATTAATGAAAAACATCAAAATTGAATTTGAAAAGTAAAAAATTTTAAATATTCATTATATTAAAGATATTATATTTAAGGTATATAAAGAAATTATAATGAAGATTAAAATAGATAAATAAATAAATTTATATTTAATAGTAGATCAAATATAGCTAAAGCATAATATTTTATGTGTAAAATAAGTTTTTTTATAATTGTTGTATTTAATTTAATTAATAAATATTAATTACATATTTTTAAAAATAAGATATCTAAAAATAGGTAAAAGAATTCTTACTGTATTTTATATGCTTATTAAATTAATTTGCTTATCAAAAAATTATGAATTCATTAATTTTTAAATCTATTATCAAAATGCTTTTAATTATTATCAATTATTTTTGAAATTTAAATCTAACTTTAACAAAATTACAGAAATATCAGAAAATCTAAATTTAACTTCTTAATATTTATATATTATATGTTAAACAATTTTTTAAAAATTACAAAATTTTTTTATTATTTAAAGATAGTATAAGAGTAAGTACAATATTTTTAAAAGTATATTTATTATTTATATTATATTAATTTATTTTATTAAATTGCATATACTAGTCTTTTAATTATAAATAGAAGAACAAATAAAAATCATGTAATTAATATTATAAAAAATATTGATTTTTAAAAAAAAAAATGTTTTATGATTTATTAAAATTATATAATTATACTATTATAATATTAAATTCTAAATAAGCTACTTTTAAACAAGTTATAATAATATAAATATGATTAAAAGAAATTATTGATAAATTACCTTTTATTGTAAATAAATTTAAAACTTTAATGATAAATAATATTGATAATAGCTAAAAAAATTTATAGTCTAATTTTATTATTATTTAATTTTTGTATCTGTATCATTATAAAAAAAAATTTAGCAAATTTATTACAGATTCAAAAAATAGCTTGTTTTTTATTTTGTATATTATATTTAGATAAAGATAATAATACATTTTTAGATAAATAATTAAATTATTAAAATCAAAAGGTTTTTTAAAGCAGAATCTTTAAATAATTAAAACTTATCAAAATTTCATTGAAATATTGACAACTATTTTATTTAAATATCTAATTTAGTTTAATTTGCTTATAGATTTTTCTTAATTTTATTAAATTCAGTAATATTAGAAAGGATATAGTCTTTCATAAATAATATATATAATGAATATTGTAACTATTTATTTCATATCAAATAAAATTGTTGAATAATACAAATAATATGGTATCTAAGAGAAAAATCTTTTACTAATAAAATTAAAAAAACTTTAGATTCTTTAAATATTGAATTTGATAATATTAATGATAATAGTAATATATCAAATAAAGATAATATAATGTGAATGAATCAATAAATAATTTAAAGAAATATTAGCAAGAATAATTGATAATATTAGTATTTTGAGTTTAATAATAATTTAAAACCTTTTATTTTACTTAAATTTTTTAACTTTCAATTAATTAAAATAGTAATAATTAAAGAAATTAATTTTATTATAAATTATAAAGATTAAAGAATACAAATGTAATAAATAAAATTTAATTTATTGTAAAAGAATTATTTTATAATGTAAAAATCTGTCATATGATTTTATTAAAATTTATTAATCAGTATTTTTAATATTAATAATTTAATTATTAACTTAATAAGTAGTTATTAATTAAAAAAAAATCAAAATAATTTTAAGTTCTATTACTAATTATTTATAAATTATTTTAGTATATACAGTCAATTCTTGTTATAGCGAACTCTTGATATAATGAATTTTTTGAACAAATATAATGAAAATACTCTTGTTATAGTGAATTGGCCAATCAAATCTCTTAAAATCTTCACTATAGCCTTATAGCAAAGTTGAGGTCTAGAACATAGAGTTCGTTATAACAAGAGTTGACTGTAATTATATAAATTAAATTTATATATATATATATATTTATATTTAATAATTCTAAAAGTTATAATTATAAAAAAGGTCTACTGTATATAATGTTTATAATAAATTTATAAATAAAAAAAATTGTAATAAAAATAAATTATTTATAATATAATTATAATTATTAACTATTAATATTATATTATTTATTATTGATTTTTGACTTATAGTTTTTGATTAATAAATTTAAACTATTTTATTATTAATAAAATAGTTTAAATTGTATATATAATATAATAGTAATTATATAATTAACTTTTTATTTAGTTATTAATATTAAATAACTGATTAAATAATTATAAATCTGATTATGATAATTTTTAATTTAAATAAAAAAATATATTAATTTTAAAATATATAAAAATTTCTAATAATAAATTTTTTTTTTTACAATTATATACTTTAAAGTAATATATCTGATAATTACAATTATAGATTTTTAATAATAAATAAATATATATAATTAATAAAATTTAAATAATTTATATATTATAATTTATTATATTAAATTATTATAAATTCAAAAATTATATTAATTTAAAAAAATATAAAGTAAAATTAATTGATTTTTAATAATATAATATTTAAAATTTTAAATCTTTCTATTATCAATATAGTTAGTTCTTTTTAAATGTATATCCTGAGATCTATAGTGAAAATTTTTTAAAAAAAGTGCATTTAAAATGGATGTGCATTTAAAGAGAAAATTTCTATATAATTTCTATATCCTTGAAACTGAATAAAAAAAAGTTAATTGTAATTTGTTAAAAAGTTAATTTAATTAATCTTTTTTTTTTTATTATACTTTTTCAATAAATATAATTTTTGCAAATATCTTTTTGTAATGTATTATCCAAGATTTATAGTAAAAGATTTTACTACAAATTCATTTTTATAGATTTTATTATTATATAATTATAAAGAAAACTATATATATTTTTTGGAAAATTGACCAAATATCAACTCATTGAAAAATCACGTGATAGAGCACAAAATTAAATTGATTACAAAGGTTACAAATATAACCCGCAGGAGCGTGGCAAAAATTCATTGGTTCTTAGATGTGTTAGATTTATTCAGTATAAATAGGGGCGGTTAACGCACTTTTTTTTTTCGGAAACCTATTTTTCTTTATTTTTCACACCTTTTCATCTCGACAAAAACGCATATATAACCTTTTATTATCTCAACTAAGAAAAGATAAAAATGTCTGATAATATCAAAGAATTCATTGAAATGCCGAGACAGTTTGTTAAAGAAGGTTCACAGTTTATAAATCGGTGTACAAAACCTGACCGAAAAGGTATTTACAATTTTTAATAGTTATTTTTGTTTAAAACGAAATGTTTTTAAGGAGTTAATTATTCAAGTTAAAAAAAAAATATTTTTTTTTAAAAGAATTCATTAAAATCTCACAAGCTGTTGCTATGGGATTTTTTGTCATGGGATTCATTGGCTTCTTTGTGAAATTGATCCATATTCCAATTAATAATATTCTTGTGTACGTATTAATTATTTTAACATTCATCGCTACTCAAATGATTTGAATCTTAATTGCTATTAACTTCTCATTCCTTTTTACAGCGGTGGTGCATAAACACTTAGATCTGTTAATTATCATCTTTACAATGAGCTCAAAAAAAAAAAAATTAATAGAGAACCAAAAATTACTATTATTTACTATTCTTAATTAAAGTTTGAAGGGTTATTAATTAGGAACATATTTGTTTTCTTGATTTAGTCTTCTAGATACGGTACATCTTAGTTTTTTTTTTATTTTATTAAAACATTATTATATACGGCTTTTCATCAATAAATTTACAAGACTTAAAATTCATTTTTTTGTTGTTTTACATATTTACCTTCATAATTCCACCAATATGAAAATTTCCAAAAAAAAAATAAAATAAAATAAAAAATCTTTTCTCTCCCAGCAAAACCTATCCACTAATTACATGTTTAAAAATATTATATATATTATAAAAAAGTTACGCTTTATCACCAATGTAATAATACACCCTTTTTGTTTTTCCTTCTTCATATTTAGTTATCTCCTCTTAACCTTGTTTTTTGATTTCCTTTCAATTCATCTTCTACCACTAAACGGTCAACAGCGTAAAGACTATTCAAATAACCTTGACGTCTTAATAAACCCAATTCTTGTTCAGCTTTTTGTACAAGATGTATAATTCTTTCGGAATTTGTTTCATTTTTATTTTCACGAAAAGAATCTTTTGTTTTACGATATGCGTAATCTTTAAAATTATAGCTAGAAAACTTTTGACTTGCTCGAAGTAGTGAACGATATAAATGAAGAATATATGTTCGGCTTGGTAATGTTTGTGTAGCCATATTAATGAAAAGAAAATTTTCGGTTTAAAATAAAGGTCGAAAAAATTCTTAATCTGATAAATCTGATTTCATATAAGTTATTTACCTAACGGGATTTTATTTAGTGGCTTAATTTTAGATCTGAATTTTTAACAATTCTTATTGGATAAATACCACGTGAATTTTTGATGAATTTATAAAAATTTTTTTTTTTACAAAATTTGTTCCCTCTCGATTTTTTGAACCCTATCAAAAAATAGTCAACATGGTAAGTGATGTTATAGTTTGCGGAAATATTTATTAAGAATAAATGCATATCTTACGAGCGTTGATAATAGTTTCATAATGTCAATAAGTTTTAAAACAAATACATATACACATGTATCTCTCAAAATCCATCTGTCGTGATAATGAGTTGGATCGTGAATTGGATTGAACGATTGCATCAATTTATTATAATTCTTTTTAATATCATGTGATTTGTGAAGGATGAAACTTTTATTAACTTTTTGCGTGTGATTTTACTTTTATTTAAATAGGGTCGTGTCCGAACAAAGACAGTAAAGAAGGTTGGTAATGTTTAAATTGTGATGGATGTATCAAACTTATTCAAATTAAATATATATTTAACAGGTTCGTTTTATTCTTAGGCATCCAGAGTAATTATTGAGAAATATTACCCACGTCTCACCCTCGACTTTCAAACAAACAAAAAAGTAAGCGTTATTTGTAAATATCCGGGTGATTTTTTATGTTTTGAATATGTAAAATAATATTGATCAAATTCTTTAATCAGATTTGTCATGAAGTCGCAATTATTGCGTAAGTATTTTCGCCAAATACATCGTCTAAAAAAAAGTATAAATCATCTTCAATAAAAATCTTATTTATAATATAGATCAAAGCGTCTTCGTAATAAAATTGCAGGGTTCACTACACATTTAATGAAACGTATTCAACGTGGACCTGTACGTGGTATTTCTTTCAAATTACAAGAAGAAGAGCGTGAGAGAAAGGATAATTATGTTCCCGAAGTATCTGCTTTAGCATTAGATTCTATTGAAATCGATCCAGATACGAAGGTACGAAAATTTAACAATTTTCTTTTCAAATAAATATATATTTTCTTGTTCTTGCGGAAAAAAAAATTTTTTTTAGCTAATTTTAGTTCATTTGAAAAATTTTAGGAACTTCTTAAACTTTTGAACTTTGAGAATTTGAGTGGTGTTACCGTTACAGCTCCAGTTGCTTTGAACACACTTGCCGAACGTCCGGGACGTGGCCCGAGAGGTCGTGGAGGTGGTGATCGTCCACCTCGTCAAGATGCTTAATAAAAATATTATTTTAATTGCCGTTTTTAAATTTCATATTTTCTGAAGAATTTGTTGATTTAGTATAAAAGTTATAATTTTTGATTTCTTTCTAATTCAGATAAAATTTTATTATGCAAATATAGTAATTTTGTACATTTCATTTAAGATTTTATCACTTTACTTAAATAAATTTCCTTCACGCCCCTGAACTCGTGTTCAAGGAGTTGAACTGGTTTCATTATATCATAAAAAAAGAGCTCAAACTATTTTCAAAATTTTTTTATATGTATTAATATATTATTATACACCAGGAAGTATTAAATGTTACTTTTATCATCTACAATTAAAAACATCTTAATTTAGTTAACCTTCCTCTCATGAGTATAATTATGATAAAAACCGTTATTTCGAGGAATATAATCGAAGTATAATGTTCTTGATTCATTTTTGAACATTTACTTAGTAACTCAACCAAAAAAAAGAAAATTATCACGTAATATTAATTGTCACGTAGTCAATTCATGTGCACGATTTTTTAATGTTATTCAATTTTGCAACAATTTTATGTGTAAAAAAATTTTATAAATATGTATAAAAAAAATTTGCAATCTTTTCATTTTATTTTAAAATTTCATTTATTAATATAGCTAATATTACAAAATACTTACTTGACTATAATTCTAAAAATAATAAAAAAACAAGAATAATTAAAAAAAAACCAAATGATGAAAGTACAAATGATAATTATATTAAAGATATCAAAATTAATAATGAAAAAGAGCTAAATAATATATGTATTGAAAAAAGACAAAAAAATTAATATATACGTTTAAATAAAGATGATCTTAAATGGAATCCAATTTGAATATTAAAATACCTGTGACTTTATTATAAAAAAAAAAATAAAAAAGTAATTTTATTTTGTAAAATATGTAAAAATGCAGGTTGTACTAGAATAAGATAACTATTAATTCAGAATGGTTACTAAATACATTAAAAACTAATATAAATAACTTTTTATATATAATATTTATGTTAGTTTTATTAATAATTAAACTTTAATTTTTTACTTTAGCAATAACATTTTTTTCAAAAATAGTAAATATTAAAAAATGTAACTTTTTTTTTGTAACTGGATTTTTATAAGTTGTATAATTATAACTTATATAGTACAGATCAACTATAAATAGAAATAAAATCATCAGATTTCAAAATACTAAAACTTTTGTTTTACATATTATAAAGAGAAAATGATCTGTAATAATGATAGTATAAACAATAAAGAATAAAAATTACAGTTTTAAATCTTTAATTAACTAGAAAGTTTTTGAACCTTTTGTGTTTGAAAATTAACAATTTCTTATAAATACTTAAATTTTAGACATAAAATTTATCATATAATATCAATTTTGTTTAATAAAATAAATGTTTTCATGTGAAAAGTTATAACACAATATTAATGGATTTTTTTATTTTTTAGATTTTAAACCTTAAAATTTAGCTTTAACTTAACAAAACAAAAGTTACATTGAAAAATGTAAACTAAATAAGAAGAAATTAAATAAAACAAATTAAATAATAATATTTTTTTAATTTTAAAATTTTTTTTTACTTTATGATTTAATAAATTAAAGTATAATCAATAAATAGATCAAATTACATGATAATTTAATTATATAATTGTTTTGATTAGATAAAGATCACATGATATATTTATGATTAGTAAAAAAAATTTCAGACTATTTGATTTTTAGATGATTTGTACTATAAACTTAAAATAATTTTGTCATGAAAATGATTATCACAAATTTGATTTGGATTTTATATTTGATATTTAATTAATTTACAAAGTGATTCATAATTATTATGTGCTATATTATACTGTATTAAATAATATATATTATGCGTACATCTAATAATCAATACTTGATTACTACCTATTTGATTCATAAATCCTTTTTTAATATTTAATAAACTCAGATTTTTTATATTTTGAATTTTTTATGTTACATAATACAATCTTCTTTTAAATAGAAAATTTACATTTCATTTTTTTAGAATAACATAATTAACAGATGCATTAGATAGAATTACAGATAGAATTAAAAAAAAAAGGATTAGATATAAGTAAATTATAATATTTTGGTAGTGATGATACTATAACTATAACAGGTTTTATAATTTATAATTTAAACTATTAAAATAAAATTAAATATTAAATAATATAATTTTGTTTTATTTTTAGACATTTGTAATGATGTTACAATTCAACTTAAAAAATCAATCTTTTATATTGCATTTATATTTAGTTTCAGAAAAACAGCTAATAAAACATCATATTTTGTATATTTTAAAATAATGATAAAAGAATTTATTCTTATTTTTCTAATTCATACAAATAGATATATAAATTAAAAAATTAAAAAAAAATAAATATTTCTGATTTAACAATTCTTAATGTATATGATACATAATGGTTACCATAATCTAATATAATTAATAATTTTTATCAGATCATTGAATCTATTATAAAAGTATTATAATGTGATTATAATTTATTGTTAACGTGTGATTCTGTCAAATTGTAACTATTAGACAGGGTGTTCAATTGGTGAATTCTTATAAAGTTTACATAGTATTCTAATATAATTTTGAGATAATTTATTATTATATAGTGGTATACACGTAGTGATACTCAAAGTCAAATAACTCGGTTGATTCAGTTAGATAATAATATCCAAAGTTCCTCCTTCCTCTCTATCTAAAGGGAGTGTGAATGCCAAGAGGTTATTAATTTGTTGTTATCAATTCAAGTAAGTGCTTGAGGCCACATTTAGAACTAACATGTTTAGATCTAAAGTTCAGCATAAATAAGGAAGGTGAACAATCAAAAAGATTGCTATGAAACCTTTGGCTCCGGAATCTGCGGAAAGAAGCAGGTTTATTTCAGTTG